TTCTTATGTTTACTGATTTGCCCTGCTTAAAGATAATCCAAAATAAGATAATCAGGAATAAACATATTATCTTGAAATCATGATTTTTACTTATGTAACTTTTAGGGGAACATATTCAGTGTGTGAAATGAATCAGAACTCTAATACTTTCTCTTCATTTTTATAAAGAGTTAATATTTGTGATAGCCCATATCCAAACTTTTATCTACATACAAAAGTCTGCTGGCTTTTACTGAAAATTAATAAACAAACACTGATTTTTAAGTTTAAACAAGTAGAAAAGCAGGTGCTGAAAGTGGTAATGTTGATGGCACAAAATAAGTTTGAAAAGTTTTGAAGGAACCAAATCATGAAGGACTTTTATGGCCATTGTATTATTTTTCTATTGCTGCTGTAATAAAATGCCATAAACTTAGTGGCTTAAAACAATACCTACTTATTATGTCATAGTTTCTGTTGGTCAGAAGTTTGGCAAAGCGTGGCTCAACTGCTTCTCTGCTTAGGGTTTCACAAGGCCAAACTCAAGGGGTCAGCAGGGCCGCGTTCCTTATTGGAGGATCTGGAGAAGAAGCACCTTGCAGGCTCATTCATGATGGTGGCAGAATTCAGCATTTTTCTCATTCTTCCCATGGGGCCTCCTTCATCTTCAAGCTAGCAATAGTATGTCATGTTCTTTTCATGCTTGGAATCGCTCTGACTTTCTCTTTTTCCACTAGCTTTAGCCTCTGCTTTTTGGTTTTTTTTTAAGATTTTTTAAAATTGTGAGGCAGTCGCTCGCTGGCCATTGGATGGCTGCTCACAGCGGCTCATGGCAGCTCACAAAAGCTCACGACAGCTGCCAGCCAGCCCCACTGCTGCCCACGCTGTCGCTGGCGACTCACGGCAGCCCAGCTCCAGGTCAAGCTATTGTTCACCGTCTTAGCTGTAAAGGGCACAGAGTCACTGGCCCTCATATGTGGGATCCGAACGGGGGCCCTGCTGCTCAGACCTGGCGTCCCAAGCCAACTCCTAACCAACCAGCCACTCAACCGGTCCTAGAAGCCTTTCAGGACTCATATGATAAGATTAAGCCCATCCAGTTAATCTCCCTATTTTAAGGTTAGTTGTGCCATTTGACATAATATAATCTTGAGAATAACACCAGGGGATGAAGATCATGGGGGCCAAAATTCTACAAACCACAATCATGGTAACTAGTTAGGGCTTTATTCTAATGGGTCTTGTGTGATTTTAAGCAGAGGAGTGATGTGGTCAATTTTGTTTTTTATAACAGTCATTTTGGTTATAGTATAGACAAGGGTCAGCTTGGGGGCCACCCTGAAGTCATGGGAAACTATTTCAAGGAGTATAATTTGGGATTCAGCTATAGATAATAGAAGCCACAGTAGCTATTTTAAGAAGAAAGGAACGTAATACAGGGAATAAGGTGCTTACAAATCTTTGGAAGGGCTGTCTCTCTAGGATTGCCTCTAGAATGGTACCACAGAACTGGCCCACCAAGGGCACTGCCACTTCTCCTAGAATCATATAAGGGAAGACTCAGGAAGCTGCTGTCCCTGGTGATATATCACATCACCTTAGTTGGGATCTGGAGATTGGCAAGCTGCTGCCAGGGGTTGCCTCCAGGAACACACTTTGAACTGCAATCTGGTAATTAGGAAGCCTCTACCCAATTTGTTCCTGCTAGATCCACCATTTCTCTCCTCAGGACTGTTGAATGTGATTGACAGAAGCTAAATCTCACCTACAAACAAGTGTGGGAAATATAGTTTTCAATTCTAGTCTTTGCGATACAGGAAGGCATTCCGGGAAGAAGCTGGAACAAAATAATGAGGAAGTTCATCCAGCTTATGCATCCACGGGGCTTATACCATTATTAGTTCAGAACTTTGGTTCCTTTTCAAAGATTATGACAATAAGGTTATTCCCTCTGTTGACCCTAGAAGAATATACCTGCCTAAAAGGACTCCTCATAGTTAATTGGACTCAAAGTCATACCCAGAGCCTAGCAGCCAGTGTTTACAGAGGCCTCTCATGCATGCTGCATTTCTGGGAAAAGCCACACACGGGCTGCCAAGATCCCTGCACTGTGCTCCTGCTCTCTGAGTCGACCCTTAGAAGAGAGTTCCTAGGATTGTAATTCAACCAATAGGACTGAGACTTTCCTCGTCTGGTCAGAGCTGTATAGCTATATCCTTATCTACATCTTCACTGATCAATCAGTATGGTGCTATTTGGACCAGTGTGAGCATTTGGAGTCCTCATTTGCATAGAAATGGACCAATCAGGGACTGGGTATGGACACACTATATAAGCCAGCTTCACCTCTGCCTCAGTGGCGTGCACTTTCAGTTTCCCTGGCTGGATCTGGAACACTGAATGGAACACTGGAGCTGGAGCTGAACACTTGAACCGCCTAGCCCAAGCTGCGGCTGCTGAGCTACCTCATTTGAGCTGCTTCAATTGAGCCGGTTCATGTCTGAGCTCTCTCAGCTGAGCTGTTTCACAACTGAGCTGTTTTCATTGAATAAACTCTCCTCCTTCACTACACCCCAAACTGGGGACTCCTGTTGGTGTTGAATTGGTGGCCATGACCTTTGGTTGACACCTATCTTCTTTTGTTAGTTGCTGCTGGTGATTTTTTTACCCTTTAAAAAAATGTTATTTTTGGCTCAAGCCCTGCGAGAGGAAGGTTCTGTAATCTGTTGCATCATACTACCACTGTCTCCAAGGAGTTCAACCTAAATACATTTCAATCATATATTTTTGAAGGGGTGTATGTGTTTTAATAATGTAAGTTCCAGAACAACAGGAATGTAATGTTGATATTTTAATTTGTATATGAACTTATAATTTGCAAAATGCTTACTCATCTGTTATTTTGTATAATTCTTGTGACTGTCTTATAAGGTAGGAAGGGTAGAACTTATTATCCCAATTTTACTAATGAGGAAATAGATCCAAAGAATTGAGTATTTCCAAGTCACACAGCTAATTAATTACAAGGCAGAGTCAAGACTGATGTCAGATCTCCTAACTCCAAGGCCAGTGCTATTTTACCGTGCATACCCTGTTATGCCCATTAATGGAAATGATTACCTCCATCTCTCACCACAGACATCTTACTGTGTCTTTAATGTTCCTACCAACCTTCTTATAACACTGATTTAACTGAGTTAAAACCAAAAGTAGGTGGAGGTGGTGGTGGGGGGAGGGATAATCTTATGTGACCATTGTATTCTGATCATGCATTAACCTTGTGTGCCTTGATTATAATAAAGCTAATATCAGATTCTTTTAGCATTTTCCCCTCTGGTTTGTAGGAAGCTGCTCAGCTCCCTCAATAAAATCAGACCTAGATCTTCCAAGGCTGATAGTGGAGACAAGATTTTCCACATGGGAAACTTGACCCTGTGGGCCTTAATCTCACCTGTACTTCACTTTCCTCTTGGTTTCTTTTTCTCTTTACTCCTGCCTTGATCAAGGAACTTGTATCCCTCATTTACCACTTCTTCTTTTTATAAGAATTTGTTTTCTTATTTATTTATTTATTTATTATTATTATTTTTTAAAGATTTTTATAGGGGAATTGGGGGAAGGAAAACAGACAAGTTGCTGACTTTTTGTTCTTCAGTCTAGTTGTGGAGGATGTTGCTTCACTGGCCCAAGTTGGCTCCATCATTGTGCTCTTCCC